ATTGATTATAAAACGAAAACAANTTTTGCGAAATACTAAGGGGACGCGAGATATGGCGGGGAAAAGATTTTAGGTGTATTGAGGTGATGTTCTGACGTTCGGTCAGCCTGCGGCGGCTTGGCCTAGTGGGTAGTGTGCTAGCATCAAGTCTGAATGCCCGATGGTTCTATTCCGCGTGGTGGCGAGAAATTTTTTCTCATATATTTCCAACATATTCAACCGACCATGATATTTTGCTTCACCCCCCACAACTTTTTCAAGATGTGGGGAGATTCTTTTTTTATATTTTTTGCTTTTTTTAATTGTAAGTAACATATTCAATTGCGTTTTGATTTCACCAACCTCAAAAACAAAATTACCACAAACAGATAAAACTAACATCGATAGAACTGTATATGGAACGAGTGAAGGTGTTCTCGAAAAGAAGTGAAGTGAACGAGAGAACAGCCGATACACGCCGTACCATTTCCGGATCGTTGTCCACGGCCATCAGAACACCATTCGGATCAACATAAGTGACTGCCTTTTCCAGTACTTCATCACACATATTCAATATATCTGCCCATCGTGACATTTCTGACTGAAATTCGCCACTTTCATGCTATAATGATCTTTTCTTTCAGGTTTTACATCAGCTTACGAAATCCATATAGCCATTATGAAATCCTTTCCAACAATGAAGATATTATTTGATACAATATAGCAATCCATTGAACTATTCAAAAAGGATGATGAGATATTAAATCACTACGAAGAACATAAATGAATAAGTTAAAGGCTTGAATTACAATTGAACAAATGATACGAAAACCACAATGAAGTACCTTGCCGAACTGTGGTTGCCATTCGTATACTTCGATGAGCCTCGCGAAGAAACTTTCCTCATCTGGTGCTGATTTGATGTGTTTGATAAGCTCCATACATTTTGGTAGCTGAAACAAAAATGATTACTGTATTTGCTGTACACTGCCAATGATTACTGATCATTATATGATTACTGATTACTGTATTCCATACAAAATGATCAACTATAGTCATTTATTCCTCTCATCAATTAGTCATTCAATTTCGCAACCAACATTTCATTCAACTAAATGAAATCATCAAGTGTACAATAACCAGCAATCACCCTCAACAGTCACCATGAATCCAATGAAACAGAATCAAAACTTACAATATCGCTATTCGATGATTTCAGCGATTCTATGTCAATCTTCATTTCGGATCAATTGATTGACTCATGAAAAGTGGTTGTTTCGTTTAACAACTGAATCAATGCTGAAATCAACAAAACTTATACAACAAAGTACCACGTAACGCTACAAATCAATCCTCCCAACGAACGCACAAACAACGCAAAACCCGAGAGCCTATACTGAGGTCGTTCGTGAGTTTCGAAGTAATGAAGTTATGAAATCAAACTTGATGATGATATTCAGCCATGTGACAGTTCGCTAAAATAACCACTAGCATTGTTCAACCCGACTTTGAGGGTCTGCGTTCTAACGGTACATCTATTTGGATGGGAGTTCATACATTGCCTACTGACAAGCTCAATTGAAGTGAAGTTCTGGATTCAGCGAAAACATCGCACGAATATCGGGATTTTCGTGAGCTGGTAAATAGAATTCCCGAAAGATCTGCACGAAGGGATATTCTTCCAGTACATTGGCTGCGTCAACGGGTGGGTTCATGATAATTGGCCCCTTGACAAGTGGCACCCCGACAAGTGACACCGTGCTATTTAGTCATCAAAAATTTGATTCGGTTCGATTTTTGGGCAATGCAAAAGGGAGGGTTCACCCGACCGGGGAAAGGTGTACCCAAGACGGGGGAGGGTTTCCCCGAGAGAAGGGGAGGAGGCTTCCCGGGAGGCAGAGGGTTCCCGGAGGATGAGGGTTCCTCGAAGGGAGGGGGTC